CCACGCCACCCACGTCCGCATGGCATCAGGCGTTATGCCAGAGGTGACGTGCTGCTGAGGAAGGCCGAGAATCTAAAGGGAGGTCACTGCGCCTCTGGGTGACGGTGTGGCTAATCCGGTGCGTTCGTCATTGTATGGGCACTTCGCCGTATGACATACACGGTCGCTATGCGCTGTGTGTTCTTCTGCTTTCGCGCGTTCTTTCACTGCCCTACGTGCTTTTGGTGATGATCTACATCCGGCGCGCCACGAAAGGTGGTAGCAGATCTGAAGCGTGCACTAGGGCTACCTGGGGGCATTGTGTGCACGTCGGCCGACACGCTCAAGCTCTCAGACGAGGCACGCGACCTTCCCTGCCGAGGTCTGCGGAAATGCCGCCAAGCCCCGGGCCTCCCACAGTGTGGCATATTCCCCTGCCCCAACGAAACAGCACGTTCTTCCCAGACCAGCGCACCTGCGGCCGAGCTCGACGCGAGCGCGCGTCTTGCACGCGACTGCGCCGTGGCCACACGATCCATCTGGTATCGGGGTATGCGCTGACGGGATCTGGGAAGGCGAGCCGCATGTTTGGAAGAGAGTTCCCCTACTCTGCAGCCCTACACCATCGTGGCCATGGATCCAGGCACCCGCGATCTCATATATCGACCATGCCGCTACGCTTCTCTCGCGTCCCCACCGTCCCCTCGCGCTTCCATGTGCTCTACCGCCGGGTCGCTCGTCTCTCTGTTCTCCGGAGTCGTGCATCAGTTCCACGACCTGGGCCAGACGGACAAAAGACGCCACGGTGGACGATCAGACCACAGCTTGTCGCTCCACACGCTATGCCCTTGTATACTTCCCCGCCCAGCACGGCGAGACGCATGACATCGCGCAAGGCGCGCGAGCCAGTCCGCTGACCCGTCGCGAGCGCTCCGAGCCTCGAGGCGCGACCCGTGCTCGTTCACAACAAAGGGCGCAGCTTCTCTCCTACGGGACCCGCACTGTGGCATTGCGGAGAACCCGTCGGTCTCGAGGCTCGAGACCGCTCTATGACCGAAGCGGCGTGATGGAAACAGGCATGCGTTCGTTGGTGTCGAACGCGAGGCTGGCTTTGCAATTGCTCAGAGGTGACGCGACAACGGCCGTGGTGAGTCTCTCGGACTCTCTGGGCTTTTTCGTGTCAGTGGCGTGAGCTGCTTTTACTCACCGGCATTTGCACAGGCGGACAGATCAGATTCTGCGTCCGACCTTCTGTTCATTATTGAGGCCAGACGCGGGCTTTCGGTGGACGTGCGTATGTAAAAGACGTCCATTCGGCCAGTGCGCGCGCGAACTTGGCTGTTGTGATTTGTACCCTGGAACGCTGCGGGCTCACCACACCTAGGCCTTTCTCCCAAGGCTACTCGATGGCCGTCGTTGGGGTTGCGCTCATGGAATATTTGACAGTCCGGCTTCCGTCCTTGCGACGGTGATCACAGTGGCATGCGGTATCCCCATCGCCATTGGCCTCACGGACATGTTCGGGCGGCCCTCACGAGTCCCCGCGTTACAGTAAGGCACAGCGCTGGTCCGGAAATACTGGAAACGGAGCGCCCACAGGCAGCGGACGAAGGGACGACGTGAAGATGACGAGATTCCACTCTCGTTCCGCTCCGCCACAGCGTCCGCTCGGCGTACGGGCTCTAGACTGGGACGTTCGTCCACACGCCGATGTCCCACTGAGAGCCCTTCAAGGATGGGATTGCCGCAGATGTGAAGAGCTTCTCACCTCAATTTGCTCGCTCACACCATTATCTCCGCAAGCTTGTCCGCAAATCCCGACAATGCTCACACTGTGGGGTGCTGGGAGCTTCAGGCACGTCTACTTTCCAGCGTCTCGCCACGTTTTACGCTCACCATCTGCATCACCTTCATATAGGCGCGACGCCTTATTGCGGCCGCCGTCACTGGCACATCCAGCGGGTCAAGGATGATGATTGTTTGGCGCACATTAACATGCCGCGCAGCCAAGAGGCTTGGTGGCGCTCCTCGGCCGCATGGAGAAGGAGCGTACCGTATGCTCCGTCCGCCGCCGTCATGACAGTCCCGCCACTTTGGCAGGCGTTCCGAAGCGTCCGGCGTACACAGCCCAGTATCCGAGTCACGGTGTGTGCGCGTTCGTGGTTTCTATCAAGCTCAGGGTGCAGAGCTGTTGCCGTGATCGCGCGCCCGGGTGAAGCGGTGGCGCAATCATCAATATTGGGTTTGCGCCAACGCGCAAGTTGGCTTAGCTGTTAGTGATGGTTCTCCTCTCGGTTGCATGGGAGTCCCCTTCGACCTTCCTTTTCCTCTAGGCCCAAATGAGCGCCCGTTTCCGCTGGGTGTGCAGATGCAAACCTGTGCAATCTTGAAGTGCGGAAGCCCTGCAGTATACCGCTATCCTTTGCTACAGGCTCAAGCACGTCTCGATGAATACAACATGGCCTTTCGCGTGAGATTGCACCATATGCGCATCAGTTGTGAGACCTAATCATCGTAATTAGAACTATCTACCTGACACGACAGGAACATGGTTGGCATGCCTCCCCTGGCAGTGAAGACGAAGCACTATGATTCTCTCGGATGGAACGCTATAAACGAGGCCAGCGAAGTCGGCCTCATCTTCCCAGTAACTTACGTGCAACGTTGCAATTCTTGTACGTCCCAGCCCCTTATCTCTCCCGCGAAGACGGTCAGACAAAGGCATCGTTACAAGAGTGGCAACGGCATGTACAAATGCAGATGATTGGCGCGGAGGGCGGGTCTCCTCATCTGTCGAGACCCCGGTACGTGCTATGCACGTCCTCGACGATCACGGTAAATCCTGGCAATATTCTTGTCACGCTCTGTGTCCTAACAAGGGACGTTGCAGATTCTCATAATCATAGACAACGATGCATCGCGGAGATGTCGACGTGCTTCTTGACAACCTCGGACCCGTTGCCGCCGAGGGTTCGGAGGTGTGCCTCCGCGTTCCGATGCGCGTACCTATGTTGCGGATCGTTGGTTTTGGATATAAGAGCCATGCCCAAAGGACGCTTTGGCATCGCGCAGGCCCTCCGTGGTGCTGCCGACACGCGTTATGACAGTGTCGTGATTTACGTCTAACTTCGAGCTTGCGAGGTTGCGTATCCGGTGTTAAGGTGGTATTGCCGTACATCCTCGAGGCGTAAGCACTGCACAGTCGAATATGTATCCTGTTCGGTATGGAGCTGATCCCCCTCATCGAGACTGCATCTGATCTATTACCCCGCACAGTGCTCTCCGGTCGCTTGTTGGATCTCCGCGACCGCTGTTCATGATAATCTACGGCTGTAGGAGCGAAATACCGGACTGTCCATGCGGTTGCCACGACAAGGCCAATGGCCTTAGCCACGAGCGTCGAACATGCTCAGGTTGCCAGGTTCCGGCTTCTGTAGCATCTGCGTCCGCCGAGGATTCTACGGAGACGTTCTTGTCTGCTATGACACAGCTGAGTGACAGGCGATCTCGTCACTGAGATGCGGGGTACCGTAATGCGTGCCACGATTGCCGAGGGTCCATAAGAGCGGCCTCTATGCTGATAAACTGCAGCACATCGTGGACGGTTGCAGAGCACTCGCTAGATAGCTCACTATTCGTCGTAGGCATTGTGCATCGTTACAGTGAGTACTATAACTAAAATGCCACATTCACTCCCAATCACACGTGCTAACGGACCACCGTCAAAAGCCTGAAGCTCTGCGTCACCGTCAGCATGCGTAGCGAAGAACCATTCGTGGCATAATGTCGGCCTCCTTCGCCTGGCGGTGTCCGTACCGGATGCCGGGCGATTTTCCCGGCGAAGCTGTACTCCTCACCGACTCAACCGAGACCGAAATGAGATGAGCGCGGATCCTCCAGACTGGAGCGGTACGCCTAATGCTACTCGTCTCCCGTCTATTCTAGTTTCACACATGGGAATGATTGCTCACGTATCATTGAACCCTTCCATGCAAGGCTTATTGGCGTACTACAAGGAACGTGCTATCAGGACTTCGCGTAGCGACGCGCAGTTGCGCGCTATCGCCATTGCCCGCCGTCTTTGCAGGTATCGCCCCGCTTTACAACTGGCTAATGCTACCTGTTTATCAAAGCCACCGATCAGACAAGCAAGCACCATGCTGTCCATCATGGCCTCACGTCGCGCCCTCGGACTGGCGGGACGACTCGCGATGCGTTCGGATTGATGCGCATGCAAATGCGAACCGACGCGGGACCTCCATGGGGTACACCTACACACCTTATCGCACCGACGATCGCCCTACAAGGTAACGGACCGCTCTCCCGCCCTCCCATCGAGTTCGCGAGCGGTACACCGTGGCGCCGTTCCTGACCGCTGTCCTCGTCTCCATCCCCTTTGGGCTGATGGCCTCGAAAGTTGTAGGTCAATCTCCGGAATGCGGGCGAATGCCCCCGCGATCGTCCCAAGCCCCGGGCAGATAATCATGTCACCGTCAGAGCTTCGCTATGGCGAGACAGTTTTCACGCTCTTGGGCTATTCGCGGTGAGTTTTCGATGCGTCTTCTTGTTGTCCAAGGCTCCGTTGCGTCGGGTCGCGTTCCCTCCATCAGCGTTTGCTCGTCCATGAAGCCAGTGTTGATAGGGAGAACTATGTCTCTCAATCATGTGAACCACTGGCTTGATACAGGACAAGTTTCTACCTTGGCCTATGACAACTTAACTTGGCTCTAGGTCAGTCACAGTATGAGGCGTCGCTTGAACAGCCGTCACGAGGCCTTCTGTAGCGAACGTAAGCTCACTGGTTAACAAGCGAGCTTATGCAGCTGGGAGAGTCCTTATCCCAAGCAGAGTCATTGATCGGAAGAGCTGCTGAGCTTGCAAGGACATGAATACAACAGCGTCAAATCCGGAATACTTCAGTCAAGGGTGAACTTCATCTGCGATGTTGCGACGAGCACGTTTGTCAGATTAAGTCATTTGCCGGAGACCTCTCCCATCTGGCGTCGAATGGGTAAAAAGGCTGGACGTTCAGGGGCTTGAACCCTGGACCTCACGCAAGTTCGAATGCAAAGCGTGCGCGCTACCACTGTGCCAAACGCCCGTTGTGAGTGTGCCCCTGCTTACGTTCTAGTATTGAAGCACAATGAGAGAACACTTTGGCACCCTCCACGATCATCCGAGTCGACAACTTGAATACCGTGTAGTAGTGTGACTGCGGTACCGTTGTCATCCACAAGTCTTGTGTGGAAGTGAAGGGAAATAGTCGGTAGCGTTGGAAAAGCCGTAAGTTCATATAGCTACGGCGGTGTCCCACACACCAATCGTGATGTCTTGACTTGCAGCGAGCTGCACAGGCTCCGACGACCGATACGACGGTCATGCTAGGTTATCCTCTCTGGTTATTTGGCCACGGGCTTGTATATTTCATTACTGTATCTATCTAGACCTGAAGGGTATAGTAGTAAGCAGATGATCGTACTTTTATCGTCTCTACGTATGGGGCACTTCGTCGTCTTGCAATATCTATCGTTGGAGTCGTCAAGTCTTCGTGGCTACCTCCGTCATCCCCTGGATCCATGGCCGCCGCTCTTCATAGTTTCTTGATGTTCACCTCGCTAGCACCGACCCATTCGCCGGCGCGATCCCTCTTGCGCACCGTGAAGCACGCGATGCCGAGGTAGTTCGTGATATCGTTGATGACCAGGTAGCAGAATCGCGCATAGGAAAGGAACGCGACCGCAAGGGTCACGTACACGAAAAGCGCAGTGCGAGGCAGAGTGTTCTGAATCAGCGGAGGACTACGCAACGCGTACAGTCAACAGAAAGACCTATTGCGGTAGAGAACAGTACGTACCGATTGATGAGGCGGGGAAGGTTCGCGTCAATCGCACCAACGATACTCCAGATCCACATCGAATCCCAATACGGGAACGGCTGCTTTGTGACGTGCGCAAGGATGATGCGCGAGACCTGGTGCGCAAATTGGAGACCCCAGGCGCACAGGAACGGCACGAAGAGTGCTGAGTGCAGGATTTGCGACTCCTTGAATGATGGTGAGCTCAGCCAGAACACTTCCATTGCCACCGATATAGGGAAAGGTAGGAGGAAGAGCAGAGGAATGAAGGGTCCCTGTCCGCTGGAAACGCGGGATTTGTAGACGTTATAGTAGCTGGGAGCAGGTGAATGAGCGGGACACTGAAAGCGTAGGTCGCCAATGGTGAAAATACCTGTTCACAATGTTGAAAGCGAGGACAAAGCCACCGAACACCATGAAGGCATCGTTGAGGCCGAGCTTCGGGACATACTGCACAACAATCGGATATCTGTCCAGGCGCGTGAAGGCGAGGAAGTCACGGTCCCAAAACTCAGGTCCTAAGATACTGATCAGCCCAAGAAAATGGCCTGCGTTCCAGTAAAACCTACCAGTGAAGCCAGTAACCGTATACAGTAGAACAATTGAGAGGATGCCTTCAACTGGTCCCGAGAAGATGCCCAAGAACAGTTGGCCTGCGAAATGACTTCAGCACAGCGTCATTTGCAGCCGTAGGGGAGTGATCTACCTGTGTGGTATTCTTCCCAAGTGGTGAGATAGAAGTTGGCAAGAGTGGCAATCTGGGAAGCGACCGTCCACCACGACCGGCCTAGGTTCAGCGCGCGAGCGCACAGGATGACTTCGAGCTAGAATTGGAATGACTGTGAGTCCAGTACAGTAGTACACCAGTAGAATCCGTACAGTCGTATTCAGTGCATCGCAGCCGTGGTCGAACATCTCACCCAGAGGACCAGCCATGCCGGTCCGCCGCGCTTGCTTCCTGTGGCCCCATGAGAACGGATTGAACACCACCGGTAAGTGATGAGACATACCCGTCTATGGCGTCAAGAGTCTGGTAAAGGAAGAGGCCTGCCGCCCACCTGTGTGCGAGCACCATCAGAGTGCGCAAAGAAGTGAGAAATTAGGAGCTCGACGTACGTGAAGTACACCCAGTGAGGGGGGCCGTCAGCCCCGCCCTTCTCCGTCAGGAATTTGGGGTCATAGTAGATCAATGTGCCAAAGTTGATGAGCACCAGCGAAAGGCCCGTTAAGGTGATCTTGAGATAGCGCCGTCAGCAGCGGCAGTGGTGGTGACGGGTCTGGAGTGCATACGGTATTGGGTGCGATCCATGTAGGCCAGAGCGTAACAAACCAGTTCCAAAATGGCTGGAGAACATAACGAGATACGAGTGACCTAGGGGCATCGTGGTGAGCGTACGTGGAGCGTGAGGATGGCGGAGAAATAGTACGGACTTGTCTACACCCTTGTAGGAATACTTCTTGAGATTATCGAGTGCATGCTGTGGGACGTAGCCCATCGTGGTCGGCAGCTATTAGATATAAGGATATACACGAACAACCTAAGACAGCAAGCTACAAGGACAAGTCCCAGCTCAGAACGGAGGTAAGGATGCGGCACAAAAGGACAAGAAGACGAAGAGGAGAAACTTTGGCGGACCCAGCACAGATCCTGCCAGTTTCCGTCAGGCGCCCAGAAATCGCGCTACGTCACGCGCACGTGCGTCGCGTCGCACTCTCTTTGTGTTTCTCGCTCCTTCCCTCCTCCTTCTGCCAAGCCGTCGAGTGAGCCTCTGGCATTCCGCGCGGGCTAAGAACATAAACGCAGAGTAGAATACAAATACGTGATACAGTGCGATGTGTACCCCTATATATTATCCAAGCAATAGCGGTCTGACGCCTCAAACACGGACTAGAACCCTAACTGCTCCACCAACGCTTGCCATGATGCGTCCAGAACAGGCACACCCGGTGGCGGATTCAAAGCAGCTTGCATGGGATGCTGCCACGGGTCCGCCGCAATCGCAGGTGCCACACTCGAAGGAGGCGCACTCGTCGTGCTGGCCATCCCAACGTCGGGCGCTGATGACATGAAGTCGAAATCCGGGAAAGGCGAGTATTCGACCTGCTGCTGGTTCGGGAACGCGTTCGACGGAAAATCGAGATTGAAGTTGGCGTCGCCCATGTTCACCTCGGGTAGCTGACCATCCCAAATGCCAACATCGAACGCATGCATGTCGCGCATGATGGTAGGATGGATCATCTCGGGCTGCACTGGGGGTTCGCAAGCGGATGTGCTTCCAGATGATCTGCCGGTCAAAGGGTTGACGGGGTTACAAGGCCTCGCCGTCTCTTCGGTGTCGCGAATCAGATGAGTCTTCCCGCCAAGGCGGTCGAGTTCGTTGTGAATGAGCTCGGACTCTCCATCGGCGTGCGCGTTGTTCAAGGCGTCGTGGGCCTGTTTACGCAGTTTCTTCATCACCGCCTGCGGATGGTGAGCAAAGGCTATAATCATAATCAGTGCGCATAGAAAACACCCACCAAGTTGTTCGAAGCAATCTGGCTCTGCTTTGCTGCTTCTTCGAACAGATCGCCGACTTTGTCAAGTTCCGCCAGGGATGCCTTTGCAAGATTGGAAGTCGGAGCACGGACAACAAGCAAACACATCACGATCTGCGCAATCCTTAGCGACTAGAAAACATTTAAGAGGAGATGAGACGTACGCTTCCTGAGAGCGCGAGTGACCAAGTGATGCTCATTCGTGACACGACACCAGGCGCCGCTCTGAATGCACACTTCGAGCAGGCAAATATCCGCCAGGCGGAGCGGTAGATGGCCATCACAGAGGGGCCGTACTTGTGCCTCAGTGGGTCGCGGGGCATGTCGTTTAACGCTTGCGAGAAGTACGGTCGGTGAAGATTCATCAATGCTGTTGCATCCCGGTGAGAAATGACGATCGCCCAGATGTCATGACGGTCCACTCACTAGCTTCCTTAAGCTGGGTAGCGGTTACTCGTTGCATGCTCAGGTGCATTGTGGGAGGCGTCTCCTCTGGAATACCACACTGCACGCGTAGCGAGGGGGGAACAGGGAAGTCGCGAATCCTCCGGTCAAGCTCCATGAGTTTCGCATACCCTGGCTGTTTCACACCAAAAGCAGTGCTCATGACGGAGTGCAGCACTCTGGTGTATTGCCACGTCCACAGGTGGACTGTAGGGTGGCGTCAGAGTCCATCCGGTAGAAGAGAATACGATGAACGTACATCCTACTTCGCGCATGTCTTGATCGCCGGAACCAATCTCAGGCTCCTTCGGCATCTCGCAATCTACGAAGTCCAGGTTGATGCTTGGAGGCCTACCAAAGCCATAGCTCTGTACGACTCCTCTTGAGCGGCGCCGCGGTCAACAGGTACAAACCGCTCACCAGCCAGGTATCCTGATAAAAGAGCTGCCAAAACACTCGGTTCCGCTGATTCGTGGCCTCTTGGTCCAAACGCCACCTCGAGCTGCTCACATCTGATCCGACATCAGTATCTGAACGAAGCTCGACGGCCAAGACGAGATACGCACGTAAGCCAATCTGAAGAAGAATCAGTATATGTGCGTCACCCAAGCATATTGAAGACATACGCTGTGACCAAGTTTCACTGCTTGTCCTATCACCATCCATGCTTTATGGGACGCGGTGTGCGCGGGCTCGCAGTCACCCAACTCCAGATATTGTGCCATGTAGATCTACGTAGCTTCGGTCAGAATGTTTGCCATCATCCGAAGGAAAGGCAGCACACCATGGTCTGAATTGCTATAAGCGTGGTTTCATGAGCGGGCGGTGCTAGGCGTAGCGAAGCTCGAGCCAGCAGATAATACTCGTGACCATCCACGGAATACGGAGGCAAATTCTGGTCGTATAGGGTAGCGAGAGCGTATATCATCCAGAGCAATGATATGGAGTGAAGAAGGGTGACGTTGCAATTCTTACTATAAGGACCAATGAGCTCATGACATTTCGGCAGGATAAGGTGATACGTACTGCGAGTTGCTGTACACGATGGCTATAATGTCGTCGAAGATGACCTCTCGGGATAGCGGATACCATCTGCTTCGTACATTAGGGGGACAATGTGGCGATGGCAATGTTGAACCTGAACAACGCACGCAAACTTCCCGAATTCAAGGAATGTCTCGCACATCTGTGTGGCTTGAGAAAGGGGCGGTAGGAGCCCTAGCATCTCTTGAGCAAGCGCAGTGCTCTCAAGGCGCACGTCCAATTCC